ACTAGGGAGGATGGCAATCCTCCCCTGGATAAATCTTAGGTGCTCTTACGTAGAAAGGAAATTCCCAAATTTCCCTCTGTCTCTTGAAGCTGAAAATAGGCAGAAAACTGATGCTCTCCAGTCTTTGCTAGGGGAAATAAGACTTCTGGATTTCTTTCAGCCTCTAAAAGGGCAGGTTCAAGTACAGGAGTAATATCTTTCCATACCACAGGAGGAGTACTACCAGTTTCCTGTGTTCTCGCTATCCCGCCTGCACTGAGAGCATAAAATATCCCCAAATTACTAGATACACAGCAAGTTTCATACCTATTAGTCAGAAAAAGCAGTGAGAAGCAGTAAGCATTTTCAATTGTACCCAGTGTATATGACCAAGACTGTTTTTATACTTGACATTCTTAGAAGGAAATTGATTATGATTGATGTTTTCGAGGGCATGATATGAAACATAAAACCTCCATTTCATTTAGGTTAAATTAGTTTTCTGAATCTGGAAACGTCCAAAAACATCAAACGCAATTAATGCTTTATGACTTTTTGCTTATCAAACAAAGTCAACCTTACACATGAAAGCCACATCAAACAGCGGCTACTGTATATAGGTCAGCCAACTACTAGCCGTGAACGAATTTCATGTCTTGTCCTTGGTTATTAATTTCATGTGTAGAGAAAAAGAAACTGACTTCAGCAAGCAGCTGCTCTTGTTTAGCTCTCTCAGCACTAGGTAAAAGAAAGAATTTCTTCTTTAAATATATGTATGTTCTCTGCAGCTTCCTGTGGCTTATTAGCACAGCTGGAACCACTCCAAGGTTAAGTCTACAAGAAAAAAAAAAAACTGAACAATTGCACTCTTGTTATGATAAAGCTATTCCCAATGAACCCATGGACTCACTGCACAGCTTCAAATTAACACACTTAGCACCTGAAAAGTGCTGGCTAGAAAGCTGTAACATCATCTCGTGCACCATTTAAGGAATCATCCTACTATATCTATCTACAACAAAACCCATGACAAACCAAAAATCAGCACCAAGTGTATACATGTCAAGTATAAATTATTAAAAGGACCTTACTCCATGGATAAGTATTTCTGAAATTAATGCAGAGTAAAATATATACAATATCAATTAAGAGAGTCTAGCTTTACCACTGTACATTAGAAGAAACACTGCATGGCTACACTTTCTTATCAAGCACGTAACTATCCAAACAAAATACATGCTGCTTCAGAAAATACTACCTTTTCCAAAGTCAAATCAATGCTTTATTACTACTATCACTACTGCTACCCATGGAGATTTTTTAGATTTAATGTTATGTAACGTCATCGTTTTTCTTCAAAATTCCCTGCAATTTTAATTAACATCACATCCCCAATACTATTTATTGTATCAGAATAGACATTCATCTACAACTTTTCTCTTGAAAAGTTCCGCTCACTTAACAGGGATACTATCTTAAACATGTTACCAACTAAAGTAACCATGCTCATATCTATCAAGATCGACAGATACCATGCTTGTATCTATCAATATCGTTAAAAGCTGATCAAGAAGAATAAAAGAAAAAAGAACATATAACTAATGTCTACAGCATCTAGTTAAGGTAATGAAGCACATCAATAGAAATGAATGTATATTAGATTCCATTTCAAGCATGCTAATATTTGTAAAGGCACTTCACGATCCCTGCTTCTATTTTACCACACATAAAACTGACATTGCCTAAGTTCACCTTATGAATAAAAATAATATTTATGTATGTAGAATATCTTACAAGAAAATTTCACTAAGCTTCAAAAACAGCTAAGTAAGATACTTATAAAATACAACTAAATCTGTATTGGAGAGAAGATATGCAGAACAATTGGCTCTGCACTAACTGAAACACAAACATTCAAAAAAAAAAAAATCTCTGCTTTTTAGAAGGTGCCATGCTACAATATGCAACATAATCTTAGTTTGAATTATTATCTGCAAACCTAGGCCAGCTGCTGTAATTGAATGCCCAGGTACACTTGGCTTTGATACAAACATAAGTATTTGAGCTGGCAAGTCAATGGACCTTTGAGCGTAAACAGCAGTACTAAAGTGCACTTGCTTACTTCTAATTTTTTTTTCTTTTTTTTCTTTTTTCTTTTTTTTTTTCATTTTCCCCATCTCCTCAAAAGCTTTCCACAGGGTTGACCCTCAAAAGCCTCTCTAACACAAGCTGCTCTGAACACAGTGCAATGAGGATTTCCAGATAGGAAGAAAGGGTGGGGGGAAGTCTGATCACTTGCTAGGGAATCGGCAGCCCAGAAACATTCAGAAACCAAACTAGAACATTTAATAAGCAGCAATGTCAAAAGAATACACAAAAGCCTAGGAAAAGAAATGTATTTCTTTTGAAATCTGCATATATGCATTCTGTTTATATGTATACTGATGCAAGATGACAGCAAAAATAATAGGATGAAGATGAAATAGCTTCTGATATATTTCATGCAAATCAGAATGATTTATCCATATGTAATAAATATATGGTTATATGTTTAATAATGGAGTAGGAACTTTATTCCTTGCTTTTAAGGAAAGTGCTGCATTTCAATCCTTTAGAGCAGGGGAAAATTCTAAAGGCAGGGATGAAATATCAATGCATGTTGACATACTACACATGCATGAACAGATTTTAAATATGCAATTGTACAATTTTACATGTAGCTATTGCACATTGCTAACAGTCCACAGCTGTTCAGTATGTTATTATACAGATGGCACACCTGTTGAAAGTTGTCTGCTTTCTTCTAAAATGTAGTCCAAACAGAAAATTTCTCTTTCAGAAGATGCAAGTCACAGACCAATCTGGGCTAATATTCTGTCCCAGCAGTGGCCAATAGCAAATATTTCCAGACACATTATACAAACTAAGCAGAAGTGAGCTTTCCCTAGCATCCACTCCCAGCCTTTGCTGACAGCATTTTAGAAATCTCCTAAGAGAGAGGCTATTTCTATGCTGTCACTTTAACAGCCAAGAAGGTTACTTACTCTATACTTACTCTATAAGTATGGCTATTCCTTCTTAACCTGATTTACAGGTTAGGTCCATAAGATGCTGTGACAAATATCTCTGGAATATAAGGGTGCACCATACATTTTCTTTGCTTTACCTACTGCATTGCAAGCACTCTTGCTCAAGTATAATGCTCCATTAATCTTTCCAAGTCATTTATGTCTTTAGAGATCTCCATCAGCTATCTCCATGACAAAGTGAAAAGTTCTGGTATATATACCCCTTCCTCAGGCAGAAGCCAACCACATCTTTTCAGCATCTACAGCCATCTATATACCTTAGTTTTTCTTTTCAGCTACTG